CGGCAAAAACACCCGGCAGGCCAGATAAATGTCCTAGGTGGGCCGCATGTGGCCCGTGGGCCGTAGTTTGAGGATGCCTGGTTTAGACTATCATGTAGTACAGTGGGTTAGTAAGAGGCCATGAATTAGTACCAGTCTGGGGGTTGGGGGACCCACAGCTACAGAGGGATGGCATGAGTAATATGGCTTTTTTTTTTTTTTTGCATTTAGCATGCTAGAATTCCAAGAATGGACTTTTAAAATGCCCTAGTTTGCTAAGCATTCATAATAATAGAAATACAGAGTAATAGATTTTACTTAGAAATGACACCCTGTTGCCTTATTTTAGAGAAATGTTTCTGGTTACTATCAAGGATTCACTACCATTACGAATGACCCACCCTTCTCAGGAGTAGCACCATTATTATCTGGTTCAGAACTGATGAGTGCCACAGTCCTAAAGACACAGTGTAAAGATAAATTGGACTGTGGAGCACAGGGTGGGAATAGAACTAGAAAGATACAAGTCCTAATTGATGCAATAAAGAGAAGAAAGGACATCCTCCCCAAGCCTTAAAAAGAGTACACCCCCAGAGAGGATTAGAGAGCAGGAGACTCTCATTGGACTAGAAGGAGCTGGTTGCTGTGTTGGGATAATCACAGTAATGTGGCATTGCTGTCCAGCAGAACTTTCTGTGACAGTAAAAGTGGCCTCTACCTGTACTAACACCTTAGATTATGTGGGCCATGGTGCATTTGAAATGTAGCTAGTCGAGCATAACTTTTTAATTCTTTTTAATTTTAATTTATGTAATTGATGTATCATTTGGGGCAACATACAACTAGGGTATAATGAAGCTGGAGAAAGAGTGAAGAAAAGGTGGAATGGAGATCATTTTATTAAGATGTAAAAAACTGTGTGTCTGTGTGTGCCATACTTGGGGGTTATGGTTGGAGAGAGAGGGGGCAAAATGGGAGGAAAGCACAGAGCACACCATAGCGAAAGGAACCAACATTTATTGAACATTGTGGTCTAGGCAATGGAATTTTATGTGTGTACTTAGGATAAATCTTAAAAGGTAAGAACTGCCTATGTTTTGATGGTGAGGCCACAAAAGCAAAAAATTGTTTCTTTTTTTTTGAGATAAGGTCTAACTCTGTCACCCTGGGTAGGTGCCATGGTGTCATAGCTCACAGCAACCTCAAATTCAGGCTCAAGTGATCCTCCTGCCTCAGCCTCCCAAGTAGCTAGGTCTACAGGCAACTGCCACTTTGCCCAGAGGCCTCACTCTTGTTCAAGCTGGTCTTGAACTCCTGAGCTCAAACCATCCACCATCCTGGGCCTCCCAGAGTGCTAGGATTATAGGCTGGAGCCACTATGCCCAAGCAAATTAACGTTCCTTTAGTTTATGTAGTTAGTATGTGATGAGATATTTTAATACATGTTTAAGCCCATGCTTATTCTGGTACAGTACCCTTTCCCTCAAAAAAATAGAGTAGTAGCTAAAATAGGAAAGGGACAAAGGTTATAATTTTGTGAGTATTTCAAGTTGATTGTACACTATCTTTTTTTTTTTAATGCTTTTTGCAAATAATTTGAGATCATGGATGCATCTTCTCCAGAGACAAAGTGTTTTTGTTTTTGCCTGGCTGAGAATAGCAGTCTGGGCAATACTCTAGCTCAGTGGGTAGTGTACTGGCCACATACTTTGAGGCTGTCAGGTTATAAC